AAAAACCAAGAGCCCACATTATACTGAAAACTCGAAGCATTTTGCTAGGACGAGGAGAGAAGCAGGTATGTCTACTCTACAGCACCATTTAATACAGAATTTGAAGTTTTAGCCAGAGCAATAAAGCATGAGAAAGGGGAGACAGGGGATACAACGTGGGAAGAGTTGAGTCAGAGCTTTCTTTTCAGGTGATATGGACCCCGCCCTTAATAGACTTCTAAAGACAAGTAGGAAACAACTTGGATTTGATAAGGATTTTCAGAGAATTAGCAATAGGACAATCTGCACACAAAAATCAACAGCTTTTTTTTTGTGTGTGTGTAATCCAATAATCAACATTCTGAGAGAGAGATCAGGAAAAAGCATCCACAGGAGCCTTTAACAGACAGTGAAATAGAGAGGATTAAAAACCAACCAAGGAGGTGAAAGATCATTACAAAATACTAAAATGTTGAGGAACAATTAAAAAAAAACCTACACTAGAAGGTGAAGAGACTTTTTAACACAACACAGATCAAAGATCTTAATATAAACCTGAAACGTTGATGCTACTGGAAGACAGGAAACAGAAACACTTCAAGATACAGAGATGAGCAACACCTTTCAAAAAAGGATTCTGACAACTCCAAAAGACAATTAGCGTGGGGACTGTATGCCAATAAAAAGCTTCTGCACAGGAAACAGTAACACGAGCAAATAGCTCATACAGTGGTCTTTGTGAGCTATGCTGCATTAAATCCAAACTACTCTGAGAGTCCATCTTTCTACAGTCAGAATGGCTAAGGTCAAAAACTCAAGTGACAGCACATGCTGGGAGGATGTGGAGCAATGGAAATCAATCTGGTGGTTTCTAAGAAAACTGGGAATAGTTCTACCCCAAGACCCAGCTATACTACTCCTACGCATATAAACCCAAAGGATGGCCCACTGTACCACAAGGACACATGCTCCACTATGATCATAGCAGCCTTATTCATAATAACCAGAAACTAGAAACAACCTAGACACCCTTCAACTGAAGAATATATAAAGAAGGCGTGGTACACCTACACAATGGAACACTATTCAGTTATCAAAAACAAAGGCATCATGAAAGTTTCAGGCAAATGGATGGAACTTGAGAACATCATCCTGAGTGAGGTAACCCAGACTCAGAAAGACATACAGGATATGTACTCACTCATAAGTTGGCATTAGCCATAAAGTACAGAATAATCATGTTGTAATCCAAGATCCAAAGAAACTAAGCAATAAGGAGGGCCTAAGGAAGGATGTGTGACTCTTACGCAGAAGGGGAAATACAATAGACATCAGAGGTGGATGGAGGAAAGGAACTGGGTGGGATGGGGGTGAGGAAGGGAACAGGGTTGGGGATCAGGTATTGGCTGAGGTGAGGGCTGAAGAGGGCTAGGAGTATGAATGGAAATCGTTGCTGAGCATCTTTGAAATTAGCTGGAGATCTGGGATGGGGGAGGCCCCCCAGGAATCTATGGGGGTGATCCTAACTGAGATTCCTACCAGCAGAGGATATGAAGACTGAAGTGGCTACCTCCTGTAGACAGGCAGAACTTCCAGTGGAAGGAGGAGAACATCAACCCACCCAGAAAACTTTCAAACCAAAATTTGTCCTGCCTACAGGATATGCAAGGATAAAGATGGAGCAGTGACTGAAGGAATAGCCAACCAATAACTTATCCAACTTGAGATGGATCCTATGTGAGAAAGCCAGCTGCTGACAGTATTAATGTTACTCTGCTGTACTTTCAGACAGGAGCTTTGCATAGCTGTCTCCTGAGAGGCTTCATCCAGCAGCTGTTGGAAACAGTTACAGAGATCCACAACCAAGAATTAGGCACAGCTAGGGGAGTCTTATGGCAGAGTGGGGGATAGAAGTGAGCAAGCCAGAGGGGTTAAGACACCACAAGAAGACCTATGGAATCAACTAACCTGGGGCCATGGGGGTTCACAGAGAATGAACCCTCAACCAACGAGCATGAGGGGATGGACTGAATTCCCTATACATTTGTGTAGATGTGAAGCTTGGTCTTCATGTGAGTCTCCTCACAATTGGAGTCAGAGTTGTCTATGACTCTGTGGCCTTTGATCCCTGTCCCCTAGCCAGACTGCCTGGTTGGGCCTTAGAGGGAGAGAAGGTACATCAGGTCCTACTGTAACTTGATATTCCAGGTTAGGATGATGCCCAAGGAAGTGCTCTCTCTTTTCTGAGGAGAAAGGGATGGGGATAACGGTGGAAAGAATTTGTAAGTGTAAGGCAGGGACGAGAGGAGGGAGGGGACTTATGATTGGGATGGGAAGTAAATTAATTAATTAGTGAAAAAGAATTCAAACAGCAGAACACCAAAACAATATAATTTTATCACTAAATGGGCAGATGATTAGACTAGACACTTCTAAATGGAAATATCAGTGACATGTACACATAAGTACACATACATGCAAACACACACCATAAGGTTTTATGTGTGTGTTTCTGTGGTGTGTGTGTGTGTATACATTACTCTAAAGTTGACATAAAGTTTTATATGTGTGTGTATACCTATGTGTGTGTGTATGTATGTGTGTGTATATATATGTATATGTATATGTATATGTATATGTATATATGTATGAATATGTTCATGTCATGCTATGCATGTGGCAGTCAGAGGACAACTCTCAGGAATAGTTCTTCCCTTCTAACCGGTAGGTCCTAGGGCTCAAAGTCCATACAGTCTAGCTTTATGGCAAGTGCCTTTACCTGCTGAGTCATCTCACCAGCCCCAAGAACTATGTTTGCTCAACCGCTCTTGCTCACACATTCTGCTATCTACTGTCTAAAATCATTACTGGCACAACAGCTCATGCTTATAAATACCAGCACTTAGGAGAGACAGAGCGGGAAGGTCTGGATGCCTGGACTACTCAGATCTACTTAGTGAAACCCTGTCTCCAAAACATAATAAACAAAACCAAAAACAAACAAACAAAACAAAAATGTGACAGAGAGAAGCTGGTCTCTGGTAGCACAGGATGCCGTGTCTGTAGTTCTGTTCTCCTAACATTCTGTGTATTTCAGTGACCTTTTGCCTTTTTCCTAGACACTTGATTTTGAAGAGAACATCTTCCTGGAGCCAGTGGAAGTCCAGTAAAATGTCTGGTACTATTCATCTGTAGCAAAGACAGTGGTTGTGATTCATTGTTCAGTGTTTGTTAACACACATTGATTGAGCATTGCTTGTTTCTGTGTTAGATACCAAAGGTTAAAAAGCAAAGCATGAGAACAAAATCTTTGTTCTCAGTGGGAGCGATAAATACCTTGCAAGTGCATGTTTAAGATCAAGCTGTGCGGTGAAGGAAAGTAAACAGGGACCATTAGAGACACGGTGATCAGGAACCCAAGGCTAATGTTTCGGGATACAAAACAGGACTGGATTTATGGCTCTTTTCACTTTCTCTAAGAAGTGATAAAGAATCTTTGAACACCCTAAAGCCTTATTAAAGTTACAGTGTCCTTTAAGGGGTGTGACTCCTGGCAGGTCAGCCGTGCTACAGTGGATGACCCCTACTTCAGTATATGATCAGCACGGATTAGAACCAGTGAGTTCTATGGCAATACTTAAAACTAAATCAACAATTTTGAAAAGAGGGTATGAAGTTAGACTATGGAGGTAAGTATGGATTTGGAAGGAGTTAGGGGAGGAATGGGGGTAGAATATGAGCAAATATACTGCATGCATATATGAACTTCTTCAAAAATAAAATATTATACAAACAAATAAATAAAATAAAAATTCCTGTGTTGATAATCTAAACTCAAAAGAATGCAGTAGAACGACCTATAATTTCAGATCCTTGAAAAAAATACACGTGGGGGAAAAATCTTTAAGTTTCAATTTTCCATTATCAAACTTTGATAACAGCTTATATACTTATAATGTTAACAAGGGGGAAATAAAGAATCACAAATTGATGGCCAAATAATTACATGTATTTAAATATTCTAGATACCAAAGGAAATCTAGAACAGTGTGAATTAAAAAGAAACCAGTAAGAAGAGCTGTGGCTTTGGAGAACAAGTCACCGAGGCAGCTGGGCATGTTCAAGGACTATGATCCCGAGGTTATGAAATCCTTTTGGGTAGGACACTTGTGTGTCAGGTATAATTTTTTTCCAGACATAATATTTGCACATTGTACAGTTTATGCATGTATATAACGATCACTGTATTATTTAGTCAATGATGGAGTCCTTCTGTTTGTGGCAGGTGCTGTTTTAAACCACCACTTTATTAAGAGTAAGAGGAATCAGAGATTGAGTCTGGCAGGACTTCAGCAGACAGGAACAGAACTTCTTAGGACAAAGGCACTTAGAATCACAGCATTCTTCCAAGACTTTGGCTCTCAGCTAGCACAGGAATTCTGAGACCCAGAGAAGTGAGGCTCAGAATCATGAAAGTCGGCAGATTCTGATAGCTGCTTCAAGGCGGCCAGCATAAAGTGAGACTGCTGAGCTCCATTTCCCAAGAAACCTTTCGCTAGGCATACTGCAGAAGTAATCTTAAATTGGGTCTGCTTGCACCCACAAGTTCAAGTTCTAGTACAAACTACTCTCCTTCTCTGAGCTGGAAAGCCCGCCCCCCAGTATAACCATAGCAACCGCTGACTCCAGTGCGCCGGTGAGCTGGGTACCGCCCCCTCCCTGACAGATATTGTTTCCCATCCTCTGTCCACATGGGCGCACTGCTTCACTATTGGTCTGTGGCCCAAGACTGTGCCTTGCTCCCACCAATAAACGGCCTGTGCACGTGCACTCTGGTGTCTTTCGATTGGTGAATCCCTCCTGATCACGCACCACCGTCCTGCTCAGCCCGGTGTGGGGGCGCCAATGAAATGACTAAGTGACCACGTACAGCCAATAGAAAAGAAGCAGGTTTCGCGACTGGCCAATGGCCGCGCTCTGTGGGCGGTCCGTGTCAGCCCCTTTCCAGTCCCAGTGGGGTGTGTTAAAGAGACAGGGCCCCGGTGCGGGTGTTTCACCCGGCTGGGCGCTGCGGCCGGCCGTAGTGGCCCTGGGCGTGCGGCCGGCGCCCGTGACAGCAGCGTCGCGGAGCCGGCTACCCCGACCTGGGGCCGCTGCAGATCTTGGTGGCAGAGCCGTATCATCTGGTGGGATGGGAGGCGAAGCGGGAGCCGATGGTCCCCGGGGCCGTGTCAAGAGCTTGGGGCTAGTGTTCGAAGATGAGAGCAAGGGGTGCTACTCAAGTGGCGAGACAGTGGCCGGGCACGTGCTGCTGGAGGCGGCAGAGCCGGTGGCCCTTCGCGGGCTGCGCCTGGAGGCCCAGGGCCGTGCCACCTCTGCCTGGGGCCCGAGCGCTGGAGCCAGGGTCTGCATCGGTGGCGCCTCTCCAGCAGCCTCGTCAGAGGTGGAATACTTGAACCTGCGCTTGAGTCTGCTGGAGGCTCCAGCTGGTGAGCATGGAGATTCCCAGGGAGGAGGCGGGAGGGGGCGCGCCAAGGGGTGGTGGGTGGCACTGAGGGAAGCTTCTGGAAGGGGAATCATTTGCTGTCACCGGTGAAGGGCAGAAGGCCAAGCCTGTGCCCCTTACCTGGCTTCTAGAAAGAGGCCAAACAAACCCTTTTGTATTGGTGTGCCTTTGAACTTGGCTTCCTGGGATCTTCTAGTAACCCATTAGGGAATCGTTGCCATGGAAACCTATGATCAGACTGTCTGGGTTCTAGGTCCTTCCTGACCTGGAGGCATGGAAGGTGGAAAGTGGTGATGTTCCATTATGTGGTGCCCAGAGTTTGATGGCCTTCCGCTCCTGCCTGTCCTGGCCCTAGACACTCCTGGGTTCATGATGATTTGCAGAAAACTAGATCTTGGGAAAAAGGAAGTGGCATTTGGGTTCAATAGACGTGTTTCCTCACTGGGGAACATGAATCACTAAGAGGCATCCATTTCTGTACCTCTTCTTTCTCTTATCTCTCCCCATTCAGAAAGACCTTTGGAGACAATGCCTGCTATCTGGGCATTTCTGACTTTTCCAGAAGTGCCCATGCATATGTATGTTGGGTTAATGTGATGGTATTTCATCATGAAAATGCTAGTAACCGTGAGTCAGTCTTTTCTCAGTGGAAACTAGTGTAGACTTTTACCTGTCTGCTTCATCATCTTGTACCTATCAAATCCCTTAAACTTACTACCTATTGTACCTTATCCTCCTGTGGAGAAGCATAGTGTCCAGTTAAGTCCTCAAATGTGTGCCTAACAGGGGCTGTCTTTTGGGTAATGGGGTGTGGCAGGTGAGAGCTCTTGCCTGCTCTAATGTCCTTTCCTCACCGTGGGTCCCAGGAGTCTTTTCTCCAAGTGAATAATAACCAACAAGGATGTTAAAGATGGCTGACTGGAGGGAAGGCCATTGAAGAGGGAAGTAAACAGGTTTTTGTCTAAGATTCAGGCCCTGAGCCTATAAGGATGAGACGTGAACATCGCTTTGGTAACATCTGGGCTAACAAATAGGTTTTGACTCACAAGTAAGATCTTGTCACTTTGTTCTAATGAAACAGCTAAATCTAGACAGCTGCCAGTTTTCCTAGAATGTGTTAGCAATAGCAGTAATAGTTTGCTTAAAGTCAGCTTTTATTTGTGGGGTATGAGAAACATTCCCCCAGATGCTTACAACTTGGAAGAGCTTAGCAACTTGACACAGATTCTCAGGGTCATTAACTCCGTAAACTAGTTATCATTCAATGACCTGGAGTGATTTTTTAAAAACTGTTGACCCCCTAGGATCTATTTTTTAATTGTCGGGATCTATTTTTTAAAAGTCTTCCCAGAATATTCTTTAAAATTATTATTCTTATTGAACCACTTGCTATCAGTGTGGCTGAACCACCACAAGTCCTTATGAAAAGATTGTGTTAGAAAGACCCAGAGTCCTGGGCTGAAGAGATGGCTCAGCCATTAAAGGCTAGGCTCACAACCAAGAACGTAAGAAAGACCCAGGGACCAAAGCAAAGCATTGGCTTCAGTTCACAAGCACCCACCAGAGTGTGACCTTACACCAGCCACTCCTCCCCACTGCAACATTTCTAGATCCCAGGGCTCATGAGTGAAAAACTTTCATTAACAGCTCTGGGTGGAAGTGCTTCAGTGGATGAAGCAGCTTCCTACCTTGTAGCCCTCAGTGGACAGGTAGAAGCAAGGAGCCCCAAAACAGAAGCAGAAATGGCCACACTGGACATCTTCTGAATGTTTTTAATTAAACATAAAAATTAAAATTAAGAAAGAAACAATTTTCTTGGTATTACAGTGTTTGTCCAGTTCCTCAAATTGATTTTTCTCATTTGAAGTACTGTAAGTCCTGTGTTGACTTGCTTCCTGAGGGGCTCTTCATCTCTCATATCACTTTTGAGTATGCTGGCAATTCTGTTCTCTACATGCCTGTTCCCTTCATCCAAAATCTACCCGCTCATCTGTACTCTGGTCCTCAGACCCCAGGCCTACCATTGTTCATATGAGCAGTCTCTGGACTTCAGGACTGTAATCTTAACTCTTGCAGATATCCAATCATCTTTGCTCCAGCTGGCCTTGTGAGGACTGAAGTACTCATTATCACCTGAGTTTGCCATTTTAGTCCAGTAAATCCATATTGCTAAACATTTGTGTACACTTTGTCATGTGTCAACGCTCTTGCTGCTTTGGCTGTTTCATTTATAACTCTTCCTAATACTGTGACAATCACAAGTCACACTCCATCTCAGCTCTGTGGGCCTAATGAGCCCCTTGGAAGTGATGAGGTAGAGAAGTGTCCCTTGATTCCAGTCCTCTAGCTCTGCTGAGACCCTTCTGAGGCTTGTGTGGCCACTCCTGCACATTGGGAGCCTCTGGAACACACGCTGCTGTATCACACCACCTAATCTGACCCTGTGTCCTTCTGAGTAGTTATTGTCCACGATGCCTTCAGGTCCTCCACCTGTGATGTCTTTCTTTACAAACTGGACCCACATTCCTTGTTTCCCCTTAATGTAGTTCATAGTAAAAAATAGGAGAGATTTAGAAGACTCATTGGGTCAGTGATGCATTCTTATTCTCTAAAGATAAAAGACTGAAATACTGTGTTGTTGATAAGTAGACCAAAGAAACCCATCATATTAATGGTTTTGACCATATAGAGTAGAAACAAATTCAGGTAGCAAGACAAATCCCAGACCAAGTTGTCTGCCATCTTTTCTCATCGGATTACCTCTCCCCATAATGTAGCCTTTATGAGCTTGAAGGGAAAGTCTGTCACGTGCCATAGTGAGCCACTGACCAGAGTGGAAGCCACAGGTTCCACTTTGAATCTATGCTAAACACATTGACTGTGGAGATTCATCAGAAGTTCTGGTGGTGCTTCTGGTCTTACACCATCCCTTCCTGGACTTTGGCCCTGGTTGAGTAACAAACATGTGAATGAAGTTGAATGATGTTATCAAGGACAGGAGAGGGGACCATGCCTGCTTTCACCCATGAGAAGTCTCATCAGTCTCAGTAGAGCTAAAGGGTGACGAACCAGCTCTTGCTGCGTTGGCTGTTTTATAACTATTACTAATACGGTTACCAAGTTTTCTACCTCTGTCCAAAGAATACATAGAATGAATATTGTAGTGTAGCCAAAGAAATGTAACTTGTCAGTTAGTTGTAGGTACAATTTAGTGTTGATATCTCACGTTAGTATAATTCATGTGTATGTATACATGTGTCTGTATATGATATGCACTACATATGTGTTTATACACACATGCTGTATATATTTATTTATATATTATATATTAAAATACATTATATATTATATTTTATATATACACATATAAACTATTTGCCCTAGATAATACTTTATGGTAATTGTATAATTGGTCATCTTATAGACAAAAGGGGTGTGTGTGTGTATGTGTTATTTCTTGGTAAAAGATAAATTCAAATTTAATTCTCTCAGTCTGTTTAATGTGCTTAGAGTATATTGTCAGGAAAACTACCTTTAAAAAAATGGCTTACATTGTCAAAACTTGTGATTTATTGTTGGCTTTAGTTAAAATGCAGTATGGTCTCTTTCAGGTGAAGGTATCACCTTATTACAACCAGGAAAACACGAGTTTCCCTTTCGCTTTCAACTTCCATCTGAGTAAGTGATGCTATGTTTTCCATTTCCTCCCCCTGCCTTGTGTCCATTATTTGAGCACCCCAGTGTTCCCCAACACTGAAGAATGTGTGCCAATCCTGTGGTGCCTCCCTGTACCTATTGTCCTTTTCCTCCTTAACCCACATTTTAATTTAACGCATGCTTTTCCTATCTCTGAGTAGCTGAAAATAAGCTCATAAACCAGTATCTTTGGTTTATTTCAGACCTTTGGCAACGTCATTTACTGGGAAGTATGGCAGTATTCAGTACTGTGTGAGGGCTGTTTTGGAACGACCCCAAGTTCCAGATCAGAGCGTAAGAAGAGAGCTCCAGGTTGTCAGTCACGTGGATGTCAACACACCACCCTTATTGGTAAACTCTGCCCCTCCCTCCTTTCTGTAATGATGTCTGCATTTAGTCAGCGTCTGCTGGTTCAGGAAGCACAATGCAACCCATAGGCGTTCGCTATGAAGATATGATTCTAGGTTGGGCAAATTACAAATTGTGTGTATTAATTCTATTGATTATATCCCTGCTGTTCAGGGTTGCTTTTGCCAAAAAGTTACACAGGCTTGAAATGCATTAATGAGGCTTAATAACAATAATGCAGAGGAGAGAGGGGTTACTTTACCAGCACGGCCGTATTCGCAGGACTGTGGCATTCTAAACTCTCCAATAATAGCAGGTTGAGGAGCAGTAATTACCAAAGAGTATTAATCACACTCAGCCTGTTATTGAAGCCCAGGCCATTATGCTATGTATCTTTCCATTCTGCATGTCATTTTCTAACATTAAGTAAGTGTGTGCAGCTGCCGCCACGGTCCTTTCACTTACCATTCCTTATGACAGATTTGGCCACATTAAGGCATTGAACTTCTAATAATCATCAGGAATACTGTAGGCTGGGAAGGAGGATCAGGCTATAAGGAACAACAGAATAGGCAAGATGGGGACTAATGAGCTACATTCTTTTATCTGCACCCATATTATCAAAATAATATAAAATTATACCTTCTACTTTCATGAAAGCTGCTAGGACCAAATGGGTCTTCATTTAAATATGAATGAATGGTGTTTTTTTTTACTTCATAGATAATGCTGACATAATTTAAACTTCCCATCGTGACACTGATGTGGCAAAGATGTGTTTTTTACTATTTAGATGTTTCTTTTTCGAGCTAGTATTTTTTAAAGACAAGGGAAAAGCCGGCAGCTAAAAAGTTTGTTAGTTCTTATTTCCCCACGAAGTAGAGTAAATGTGATAACAGATGAAAGACCTGCTGCACGGTTTAGCCAGCTCCCTGCTCCCTGGCACAGGCCCCCTTGAACGGCTCCTTATCCCATTTGGAAGAGCGGTGGCATTAGTAACTTATATCTTTTTAAACTTGTGTAGAATTTTACACTTCTCTAAAATTGCCACTGGTTTTATGGGAAATCACTTATTGAGGTTTGCCTTTTTGTCAAAAACAGATACTTGACCTTAGTATAATTTCTAAAATAAATGAACAATAAAAGGTAGCCAGCAACAGTTTTACAGAAAAGCCAAGAATCCTATAGTGGGGTATAATGGGCCTCAGCACATTTTCAAACCTGCTGATACAAGGTATGTAGATGCCTTTAAAGCCCCCAGACTAGTCCCAGGACACTTGAAAGTTCTGTCTGATATGCAAAAAGACTGTTTTCTTATCCCATGGAGTATAGCCGGACAGTGTAACATTCTGATTGTAACAGTGTAAAGATCTCCTGATCTTTACCTTGCCTTAAAACACAATTCTGTCATACTAATAAGAAGGGTCAGGGTAAGGGTGCTTGCTCTGAGCACAAAAAAACTGAAGTTCAGATTCCCAGAACTTATGTAGAAGCTGGGAGTGGACATGCATGCCTATAACCCTGGAATTTGAGCATGGAAGCTGGTGTATCCCAGGGGCTCACTGACAGGGTAGCCAGCCTAGATTAAAAGGCAAGCTTCAGGTTCACTGAGAGACTATGTCTCAAAAAGAGATAAGGAGAGAGTGATAAAAAAAAGACTCTGGACTTTTTCCTCTGCCTTCTGCATGTCCTGGCATGGATGTACATACCCGTGTGCACACACACTTGTGCGTATACTGCACCATTCCCACCATACGTACAATGACAGTTCTGTAATATTTACAGTATGAATAGGACCCTTGGTCACTTTTCTACAGGATGTTGTGTCATTCCCTAGAAACACAGTAACTTCAGGATAAAGTTGGATGATGTCACACAAATTTGAATCTGAGAGTTCACTCTAGTTTTCATGAGAAGGAACCAGCTTTCAGCACTTGGTGTCACATGAGAATAAGAAAGATTGATATTTCTTGATAATTATTCATCAAAGGAATATAAGTTTTCTGGAGTGGTTTAATGAAAGTCCTTTTATTTGTAACTTTCAAGACTCCTATACTGAAGACGCAGGAGAAAATGGTTGGCTGTTGGCTTTTCACTTCCGGTCCCGTGTCACTGAGCGTCAAGATTGAGAGAAAGGGCTACTGTAACGGTAAGCAACTGTGTTCTGTGGAAGACTGCAGAACAGACTCATTGATTTTACTGGGTGATCAAAATGATTTTAAGCAGAAGGCTTTACGACCTATGAGGTACATTGTATTTTAATATATTAAGTAATTAACATTTACATATTGTAAGACCATTAATAATAGTCTCCAATAAAATTTCTGTTTTCTCTGACTCTGATCTGGTGTCTTTAGTCACAGAATAAAACTGAGGAGCATGGAGAAATGCTGGAATTGTATTTTACTATTACAAAAGAAGATATAGAGCTTTCAGAGTGTCGTACTATAGATGTGTAATGTTGTGAACTAACTTCTCTGCCCCTTCGTTGTCTGTACCTTAACCCTATGGATTCCTGAGAAGCAAAGGCTTCACTCACTCATGGGCAGGGTTTTATTCCTTGGCTCTAGGGAGGTTGTTAGTAACCTTTATACCTAACCTCCTACTGCATCGTTTCCGTATATGCCTCTCCTTAATTTATACATGCTGCTTATTTACACGTCTCGACGTAGCGTTATTAGTGTCTTTTTACATTGGCAGAGTGAGTAGTGCAATTGGTATTAACTGTCAGCAGCTACATTGAATGTCTACTCCTCTGTTGAAGATTTCCCACAGAAGCTTCAGTAGGGTTGGGCTGTTGCCGTGTGTTTCGATGCCTTGAAATTTTTCTGAACCATCCCTTAGTCCTTCTCATTTTTTTTTTTCTCTCTTTAGGAGAAGCTATCCCTATCTATGCAGAAATAGAAAATTGTTCATCCCGACTGGTTGTTCCTAAGGCAGCCATATTCCAAACCCAAACGTATTTGGCTAGTGGGAAGACAAAGACTGTCCGGAACATGGTTGCCAACGTCCGGGGAAACCACATTGGTTCTGGGAGTACGGACACATGGAATGGGAAGATGCTGAAGATTCCACCTGTCACTCCATCCATCCTGGATTGCTGCATTATCAGAGTGGACTACTCCTTAGCTGTAATCAAAGCTTCTTGAATCATTAAAAATACATAAAACAGAGCAGCAAGCGACGTGATTGCAAATATTATCTCTAATTATTGCATCAATACTTGGAAAAATGTTAGCATTGCTACCATTTTTGAGTACATGAAAACTGGCCTTCACTGTTAAAACCCTATCTCTACCTAGGGGAATTTAATGCAATAACCTTAAAAGAATTGAGATGGTATGAGGACTGTTTGTTACGTGGAATGTAGGTTAATTTTCCAGGATTGTTAACAATTTGTGCCAACTTACAGTGAAACATATGAAGGCCACAGTTCTCTGTCACAAGCCTGTCCTGTAGTTAGTGAACTCTTCATTTTGTTCTTCATTTATTCTTAGGACAATTTACATTTGTCCTCAGGGTGGCTTGGTGACAAAGACATTTGTTTCTGTGAGAAGGAGGTTGAATTAGCTTAGTTCCCATGAGGTTTACCCTAATCCTGTGCCTTCCTATCCCTCACACAACGCTTCTTCTTTTGTACACATCAGGTATACATTCACATTCCTGGTGCTAAAAAATTGATGCTGGAGCTGCCTTTGGTTATTGGTACAATTCCATACAGTGACTTTGGCCGCAGAAACAGCAGTATGGCAAGCCAATTCAGTATGGACATGTGCTGGTTGGCGCTGGCCCTACCGGAGCAGCCTGAAGGTAAAACATTCAAGTTATCCGCAGTGAAGTTTTAGACAGAGACTAGCTGACAACAGAACATGCCAGGAGTAGTCGTGCACATGTCAGCTCTTCCCCACCACATCACTGTCTACGTGGCTGTGACCAAATGCCTGACAAGAGGACACCACAAGGAAGAAGGCTTTGCTTGACTTAGAGTTGGAAAGTCCAGCATCGTATGGCAGTGCAGAATGTTTCAGCTATGGCTTCAGGCATGTGAAGCAGCTGGTCACATTATATCCACAACCTGGGAGTAGAGGGAGATAGGTGTTGGTGGTGCCCACTATGCCTCTCTTAGCTGAGTGGGGGCCTGGACCTGTGGACAGTGCTGGTAACATCCAAAGGGTTCTTCCTTCTTCAGTTCAGTCTCTGGGAGTTCCCTGACAGCCATGGCCTGGGTTTTTGTCTCCTAGGTGATTCTAAATCCAGTCAGGCTGACAATGAAGACGAACATCACAACTACTCTATTGTTTTATACTACGAAGCATGATATAACGTTCCTGGGAAAGGAACCTTGAATGTTTACTTTAGCCATGACACAAAGCCAGTGACAAACCCAGGAATAAAATAGCCATTTCCTAAGGCTAATTTGTAATATTAAAACAATGAGAGATGTTTAAAATAGAAGTCTAGATTGTTGCATATTTTCTAGAGCTACATCTCGGGTATTTGTTGCCTAGGTTATAACATGTAGATCACAAAAAAAATAGAATATAATTGAAAATAGGATAATATTAGTAGCTGTGTATTAAGAGAACCAAAACTTTTCTTGTGATGACCATAATATCCAAGTTTGGCTCAGTCTCGTGCCTTTGTAAGAGTTCAGAAGACTCAAAAGTAATTTTTGCATTTTTACATGGATTTCTTAGCTCAAACTCCAATTCTGTTTCAGCACCACCAAACTATGCAGATGTGGTATCTGAAGAAGAATTCTCTCGACATGTTCCTCCGTATCCTCAGCCCTCTGACTGTGAGGGGGAAGCCTGCTACTCTATGTTTGCCTGCATACAAGAATTCCGTTTCCAGCCTCCGCCTCTTTACTCAGAGGTAAAGAAAATTAGACTCATTATGCTGTCTGCAGACACTCATTCTCCATTCATTAATGTGCTGCCACTGCTGACTCATAATTGGTAGGGTATATGTATAAACTTGTCCTTACAGTGTTGATAGTTTATCACAACCACTTACCGAATTTGCTGGTGTTTTGCTTGTGAGCTATGGCATTCAGCATTGTAAATTGCCTTGAAGATGTTTTATTTTGCCACAGAAGATAAGAGAACTCAGTCATCAGTGGGGGGCTTAATGATAGGTGGTTATCAACTCAGGCTTGCAGTTATCATGTAATTAGAAGTAGGTAGGAGAACCAAGGTGCTCTGGCCATCACCTCACTATTCTGCCTCTGTAGGTTGATCCACATCCTGGTGATGCCCAAGAGACCCAGCCTGTATCCTTCATTCTCTGAACAGACTCCAGACTTCACTGTGCTGTTACCAACTTAGAATATTGGTTCTTTTGCCTGCCTTGTTGGATGAGAGAGAAAGTTAACTTCAGAACGTTGGTGAACTTCAAGCCTGAAGATGACAGAAATGAAAGCATATGTGAACTTTTAGTGGTCCAGGGGGATGGTTACGCAGTTTCTAAGGTGGGCTCACTTGTCCCCTTTAAAAGTGGATGAAAATATGAATTGAAAAACAGGAAGTCCTGGTGGTAGGAGAGGATGTGACAGAATGCCCGGACTGTTGAAGAGAGGAGTCTTAAGGAATTAGGATGTTACTGGAGTGTGCTCTGACCAGGGTTCACACACTGTTATGAACTTACAGACTTGGTAGGAAGACATGGATAAAGGGAACAAGACAGCTTTGAAGTGACTGTGAATGAGTGAATGGTCTACTTTCAATGCAATTGAGGTCCCCAGGTTTTGGAGTCTCCATGATTTCTTACCATGTTACCATAGCAAGGATCCAGGTCCTTGAAAGTATCCTGTCTGAGGTCAGTGGTCATGTGACATCCTGATGGAAATGACAGTGGCTCCAGTCTTTGGTGAGGAGGCTAAAACGTACCTTGAAAATTGGCTATACAGTAGTAGAAAAACCTAGAAGGGATTCCTTAAAAGCTTGCCATATCAAAAGGAAAAAAGGAGTTGTTCATGAAAGTGTGTGTTGTAAAAGCCTGTACTTCTTACACTTTTAAGAACTGCTTGCAGGGCGTATATTTGATTTTCCTCATTCCTTATTTAGGGACTATTAGAAAAAGGAGGAGTGACATCTTTGGGATACCTGATACCTACACAGAACAGAGTGTTCTCGTATCCTACCTCTAGTGGCTTTGTCAGACCTGCTCTCAGAAGTCCAGGCCTGACTGACCTCTGGGGTTTCTGCTCTATGCAGTTAGCAGACGCCTCTCCATCTGTCACTTGACCTGAAAACTAGACCAAGGGAAAAGTCCATGAGCTCAGCATTAAATAGAAATAAACACCTAAGATTTCAAGAAATCCCAAATCAGAAGAGGACAGGAGTGTGCCTAAACTTGGTTCCTGTGAAGAGGCCTCAGTGGGCGGATGGCAGCTTTTGGGTAGTACGCTCGTATTCCAGTTTGTTAGTAATTCCATTTATACTGTGATTTTTTTTTTCTTTAAAAAAATTGTTTTGGTGCAATATTTTGTTGTCTTTGAGCCTCAGGATATTCAGACCTACAGGGCTGTGTTGCTGCTGGCAGGGTCAGCCATGTCAGCCTCTTCCCTCTGTTCACAGTCACATGCTCAAATGTTTTGCCTCCAGTCTGTTGATCCCATGAACTGAGAACATTTCTGACACCAGGCGGGAGGGAGACTCTCACAGTTGAGATCTGGACAAGCCAAATCCTACGGGTTTGATTTAGAAACCCAGGTGCTTCCCAGGCAGAATGGCATGCCACACCCATCATGGCGATGGAATTACCTTTCAATCACCATGTTCCCTTAGAGATATTCTTCTAGGGTGAAATTTTATATCAAAAGTCAGTGGGCCATTTTGTTCAGGGATTTTTGTACCAATGTTCAGTAAATGTGTACTTCTCCCCTCTGATCATACCTCTCCTGTGATCATCTTACACGTGTATTTCACTGTATGCCGTTGTCGAAAATGCCAAATGGTATTGCCAGTACTTGTGATGTGGGAATCACCACAAAAACCTTATTTCTTGTTTTGGTTTTTAGAGATTTCTTTCTTTCTTTTCTGTTGTGTGTCTGTAAACAGTTACGATTGCTCACATTCCATCTAAATTGCTTTTATTTATTTTTTATTATTTTTTATTTTTTTGCTATGGAAAAGATGGTGAGCTGTCTTTTGGCTGTTAGCCTGTAGTTTACGAGCTATGTCAAGTCATGGTCCATCCATGAAACCAAAAACGAAGGGAAAGAAAGCAACGGTACGGAGTGGACAGAGAGAAAATGGAGCAGCTTGGCTCCCTGTAGATAAGCCGTGGCAGTCAGGTTGGTTAGAGAAATCATGAAGTCCCCCACAAAACAGAAGCACAGCTAACAATGGCATTGAAGAGTGCAAAGAAATCACTTTATACCTATCTGTCTGGCCTGAAGCTTATACCCAGGATGACAGGAATGTAGAAAACTGCATCTGAAACCCTGTGAATGAAGATCAGACTTTTAGCTGCTAACACTTGCCTGTTTAGTCCCTTCTTGCTCTCATTTAGTTTGGGAAAAAACAAAAAGTGCCCTTAGGATTTTCTTTGGGATGCACAAAGCCTGAGATTCAGAGTGTGCATCTTCTGGTGCACACAGTTTCTTCCCTTCCCCCCCCCCCCCCGGGGCAGAACTTTACTTCCTGTGTCTTTGTTTTGCACAATAAGAAACTCAGTAGGCAAAGGTTGTGTTTTTTGGTAAGTTCACTCGCTTTTTAAAATTTTTATTAAAAATGTAATAATTTAACCAAGGGGAAAATAAAGATTGTATTTTGTACTCTTCTTTGAACCCCATGGGTTCCTTTTTTGTTAATAAAATGGTTATACTAATGATCTGGGTGGCTCTTGTTTTATTCCTGTGTTGACTTCAAAGACTGAGTTAAATCATCCTAGACTTAAGGAAAATCAGTAGCCACACACAGCCTCCTGTTATTAAGGTCATTTGTTTATACATGAGATCAAGCATAAGGCCCAGCCTGGAACCTACTGGGTCTGTACATACGAGCAGGTGTCCAAAGGCGAGAAGGTACTAGCAATCCAAGAAGGCACTGGCTAAGCAAGTGTAGGTAAACTCATGAGTCAAGGAGAGAAAATGCCTTCTTTTATTCCAAATGACAGGAGATTTAATTCTCAGTTTCAGATTTGCTTGGCCACAATCTCAGGAGTGAGTTAGCGGGGCTCTGGGCTGTCATGGACAACCTTCCTTCTAATGTGAATACAGAAGTGAATGTAACTGTGGTATTAAAAGGAAGGTGTGGTGGTAATTCATCTCAAGAAACCTGCCCAAACTTAGGTCTGATAAAATTAATGTTTGCTAACCCATGATAGGTCGGTTGCCTGGTTGTTTTGTATCCATTTGTTTTCAATCTGGGAGACGGCCTTACATCACCATCTTTGCATCCAACTGTATGTCAATGCATTCAGACTGAAATACTTGTCTTATATAAAATACAGAAAAACTTGCAAGATTACCACTACGGCTTCTGTAGGTTGATCTGGAATACAGTGGCTTGTGAAGTTTCCAACTAGGCCAGACTCTAAGGGGAAGGAGGATACAGCTCTCCGGTTACCAGTATGTTCACCAGAACCCAGAGACAGGGAACCTTAGACCTGGGCTCACATTCTATGGGAGGTTTCTACACCTTTAAGGAAGCAATGAAAACAGCCATCGCTTCATTTGCATGGCTTAAGGCTTGCAGACCTTGATGCTAGAGACCTGTGGTAAATCAAATCTTTGGTGTTTGTATCCAGAAGATCCGCCTCCAGAAATGAGCGCAATCTGCCTAAATCACTTCCTAAGTATGTTTAATTAGTAGTTGGGATTCCTTCTTCAACACAAGATCTAAGACCCGCATATTTCGAAATAATTACAGTCTCACGGCCAGAGCAGTAGACCAAAGCCCTCTAAGCCCACCAGCCAGGCTCCCGTAGTGCTGTCTTACACAATGAGGCCCACAGCCAAGCCGCAACATTGACACACAGCGGCAAGCTTTTGCGTACAATCTGGGGTTTGTTTGGTTTTTTGCCTATAATTGTATGTGTAGTTTTATGGCATGTTAGCACACATGTAGGTTCATGTAATCACTGCCACAATCAAGACAGAGAAACTCCCTGGGGCTGTCTTCAGTCACACCTCTCTTCTTTTATCCCTAGCTCCACTCCCACTGATCTGCCATCTCTCATTTTTGCCTTCTTCAGAAAGCTAGATACAGGAGCTCATTCTGGCTGTGTCATCCTGAGTTTTTGTTGTAGTTGGGTTTTTGTTTTGTTTTGTTTTTGTTCTGTTTGGGGTTTGGTTTGGTTTGGTTTGGTTTGGTTTGGTTTGGTTTGGTTTGGTTTGGTTTGGTTTTGGTTTGGTTTTGGTTTTGGTTTGGGTTTTGGTTTTTTTTTTTTTTTTTGCTTTTCATTCCATGTAGCCAGTTGAGATGCACACACATCGCTGCCTGCATCAACACACTGTACCTTCATCCTTCATATATGAGCTCAGGAATCCGCAAGCAGAGACTGACTGCTAGTTAACACTTCACTTTGCAGTTTGCAAATAAAAAATGTAGCGGTTTTGTACGCATGATACTTTTCATAAATATTTCAGGACGGGGGCTTGAGAACTATTTTCTATCTGGTAGATAATATAGTTCACACCTTGGCAAAGCTTTAGGGGTATATCTTCAGTGTGTCAAGCTGCCTCAAGTATTTTACCTATAGATGATAGCCTGAGGCACCATAGATGAGCATCTATTATATAAAGGATGGATCAGTGATTGTAGACCAGGAAAAACTACACTAGGCGATTTTTTTTGTATCAAATTCCAAGTCTGATCAGCTTCAACCTGAAATCAGGTTGGCCTTGTGTGTTTGCGTATTAAACTCTCTGGATTTTCTTCCTGGCTCCTTTTCCATTCTCATTGTTCATACTCCCACTTCTTAGTATCTAGTGAGAAAGTACATATGACAATTTTGAACTACAAATATGCTTTTCCCTAATATTGCGAAGCAAGAGATTACTTATTAAGACTTAAGTTTTTCTACGCAGGAAAACTTGTATTTCATAGTAGCCATTTATGCCCACCTAAAGAATTTGCTCTTAAAATTAGAACGAGTCTTTGGTTATGAAAAAAGTAAACACTGTAAGTCTTGATGGCAGGAAAAGACCTGCTGCAGGCAGCATCTGTCTGCCACTGGGAAGAGGCAAAGTACTGCTGCCTCCCTCGTCCTTGGGATGGCCTCAACCACTGCTATGGATGCCCACACGTACATGCATGTACACAGAGACATCTGCTGATATGTGTGCGCATAGATCAATTCACGTGCACACATGCACACATGCAGACACTGTTCTTGCTGTTTCCTTCATCTGTATTCATCACCTCCAGGCCTGGGTCTATTTCAGGTAAGATTATAAGCTTGTTTACAAAAGCAAGAAATACTTCCATAGGAATTTACCAGAAGAGAAGCCATTTCCCACCAGCCTTTGCCCATTCTGTCTCCAGACAGGAAAAAAGCCTAGATATTTTTCAGAAATATTGGGGAATTACTGAATAAGTGAACTGAGACAGTATCCACAAAGAGTTTGTCTTTCTCTTTATATTAATTTACCACATGATGTAATGACCATGTCTCTATACTACCCTGGATCATATACTTAGGGACTAAAAGACACAAAATGTTCCATATCAAAACAATGACAATTATATAAACTTATAAGTAGCATTTGTTCTTCATAGATTAAGACTCATATTGCAGAACATGAAGATTTCGATTCTTGGATTTTATTTTTCCTCATCAAGCACAATCTATCTATTTGTTCATATGTAAATTGGTCAATACATCAGCACTATTTGTTCTAGCTATCAATATAAATATCTGGAATTGCCTCAAATGGTTTAATCTTTTGGTCAAATGGCATACAGTGTCAGCGGGAAGAGGCAAAATACTGCTGCCTCCCTCCCTCATACTTGGAACAATGGTCTATCATGGATAACAAGCTTCAAAGCAGCATACAAATGCGTATATCTGCACACATAAGTCATGCTTCTGCTTGTACACATGCATACAGTCGCTTCTTACTGATAGAAGTTTCACCTTTACATAAGGATAAGAAAAGTCATCAACAATTGCATTGTTAATAGGCTCCAGAGACTATATGCTATTCACATCGACCCATCCCACAGCTGGAAGGACACAAAGAGTAAGCCTGATTTTCAGTACCTGATATATGTTGCACAATAAACAGATAGCAGACAAGAACTGTTTAATGAAACAATTTGCTTAGTTGCAGAACATCTCTGTATACTACTTCAGTACAGGAAGTGAAAAACAAAACCATAACACTGATGAACATCCAGCACATGACTTAGATGGGGCTAAGGACCAAATTCAGCTACACATAAGAAACTTCAGGGTGGGATTGAAGAGATGGCTCAGTGGTTAATAGAGCTGACTGCCCTTGCAGAGGACCTGGGTTCAGTCCCCAGCACCCATATCTGGTGGCTTACAACTACTTATAACTAGCTTGAAGATGTCTCCTTCTGACCTCATCAGACACTTGCACTCACATGATATACACAAACTCATACAGGTTCACATAGATACACAGAAGTTAAAAATATATTAGTTAATCTTTTAAAAGGAAGGAAGAAGGGAGGGAGGAAGGAAGGAAAAAAGAAAAAAAGAGAAAGAAAGACAAAGAGGAGGAGAGAGAGAGACAGAGAGAGAGCGAGACAGAGAGAGACAAAGAGAGACAGAGAGAGAGAGAGAGACAGAGAGAGAGAGAGAGAGAGAGAGAGAGAGAAAGCTCAGGGAAAATATAAATTTTCTTGACAATTCCCAGAAGACCACAATTACGGGAAAAACTCTTTAGGAACTTAAAATTTGCATCTTCTCTTTTCTCTAAACTAAACCATGTCGATGAAGTGTGTGTGTGTGTGTGTGTGTGTGTGTGTGTGTGTGTGTGTGTGTATGTGTGTGAAGAATGTGATATAAGCTAAAATCTTGCTTTATCCTCCTTCAAAGAGATAAAGGCAAAATTTCCTGGTAAATCTCTCACCTTCTTACGTAACTCCAGAACACTGGAAAATTCCAGCAGCAAATACTTGCCTTTATCTTATCTGATATAAAAAAACACCTTGGCCCTGACGCCACAAGATAACTTACATTATCCACTGTAAGCTGATATGAACACCACCAGCTCTTCCCCTGTGAGAGCTACAAGTTGCATCAGATACATATAATGCTTTCCAGAAAATTAATCTCGATGAACCTGAAACCTTATTTTAAAACCACCAGCTCATAAATTGTCAGTCCTGAAGCAAAATGAAGATGACTTCCCCTCCCGATACTCTTCTGATAGGGAGATAGTTTAAACAATGCCTATATACAAAGGGTGGGATTCTGATCACCTTGGCCTTGCTCTTGATTAAAACAGAGAAGTCACAAGGTACCCTCAGTCAAGAGCTTACCCTCAGTGAAGCCCCTTCCCATGAAAAATGATGGAGACTTACTACCTCAACCTCAAATCCAGGAACCCTGGAGAAAAGAGGATACATGAATCAGAAGCATCTGACATCAGCATATGCCCAGCATTCTGTAAATGAAGTGCACTCAGAAGGGTCAGTCTTTGGTTTGGGTGTATATATAGTGTTTATTGACATTTGCTTTAGTTTACTCTCAACTTTTGCATAGAAAGTTTGTACCTCAAGAACTAGATAGTTACAAGGAGGGTTATCTCTCCCTATTCAGACAGAATCCTATTGTCCTCACTTCCTCTTCCCCAAGGGAACCAACTTGTCCTAGTTTGCCTAAGACTTCTCCTATCTCACACTGAAAGGGCCATG